TATATATATATATATATATATATATATATATATATATACACAGTATATGGACACTGCTCACAAAATTAAAGAGAACACTAAAATAACACATCCTAGTCCTCAATTAATTAAATATTCTCATTGACAATTTTTATTAATTGCACAGTGGAATTGATTGAGAAGAAAATACTTTGCAACACAAAAGTTATCAATGTGAATCAAAATTATTACACCATGGAGATCTGGATTTGGATTCATACTCAATATGAAAGTGGAAAATTACATGACAGGCTGATTCAATGTCAGTGAATATTCCTCAAGACAAGTCTAAATGAGGCTCAGTAGTGTGTGTGGCCTCCACGTGCCTGTATAACCTCCCGACAACGTCTGGGCGTGCTCCTGATGAGACGGCGGATGTTCTCCTGAGGGATCTTTTCCCAGACCTGGATTATAGCATCACTTAGCTCCTGAACAGTCTGTGGTGTGATGTGGCCTTGGTGGATTGACCGAAACATGATGTCCCAGATGTGCTCAATTGGATTTAGGTCTGGGGAATGGGCAGTCCATAACATCAATGCCCTCATCATGCAGGAACTGCTGACACACTTCAGCCACATGAGGCCTAGCATTGTCATGCATAAGAAGGAACCCAGGGCCCACTGCACCAACATATGGTCTCACAATGGGTCTGATGATCTCATCCTGGTACCTTAAGGCAGTCAGGGCACCTCTGGCTAGCACATGGAGGGCTGTGCGGTCATTCAAAAAAATGCCTTCCCACACCATGACTGACCCACCACCAAACCGATCATGCTGGAGGATGTTGCAGGCAGCATAATGTTCTCCACGGTGTCTCTAGACGCTGTCATGTCTGTCACATGTGCTCAGTGTGAACCTGCTTTCACCTGTGAAGAGCAAAGGGCACCAATGGCGAATCTGCCCATTTTGGTGTTCCCTAGCCAACACGATCATCCTGCATGGTATAGGGCTGTGAGAACAGGCCCTGTGTGTGGACGTCGGGCTCTCATACCACCCTCCTGGTGTCTGTTTCTGACAGTTTGACTGGAAACATGCACATTAGTGGCCTGCTGGAGGTCATTTTGTAGGGCCCTGGCAGTGGACCTCATGTTCCTCCTTGTGCAAAGGATGAGGTAGTGGTCCTACTGCTGGGTCGTAGCCCTCCTACGCCCCCCTCCTTGTCTCCTGGTGTACTGGTCTGTCTCCTGGTACCAATTCCATGCTCTGGACACTGTGCTGAGAGACACAGCAAACCTTGCCACCGCTCGCATCGATATTCCATCTTGGATTAGCTGCACTACTTGAGCAACTTCAGTGGGCTGTAAAAAACACCTCATGATGCCTCTATGTGTGACAGCACTGACAAAATGAAAAAATGGCTAAAAGTTCAACCAGAAGGGACGAGAACAGAGAAATGACCTGTGGTCACCACCTACAGGATCACTCTTTTATAGGGGTTGTCTTGCTAATTGCCTCTCATTCCACTTGTTGTATGTTCCATTTGTACAGCAGCAGCTGAAACTGATTCACAAGAAGTGTTACTACCTAACTGCTGACATGGATTCCACAAAGGTGTGACTGATTTGGAGTTACATTGTTTTGTTTAGGTGGTCCCTTTACTTTTTTGAGCAGTGTGTATATACACACAAACACATACATATATATATATATATATATATATATATATATATATATATATATAACACACACACATTTATGTGTATGTGTGTGTTTATATGAGATATATATATGCATGTGTGTGTGTGCCAATAAGAGTTAACAATGAAAACTACATTATTTTGGATTAAAAGTACTGAAACTATGCATCAATGAAGAAAAAAGGAATTTGTCTCGATTCAGCAGCACTTTGAGGCTGGACCTCCTCCCTTCCTCTCTCTGCTCTTCTCCTCCTCCTCCTCCTCGGATAGCTTATTCCCTCCTCTCTGCTGATCTCAATTCAGTTGACCAGCGTCGCAACCAGGCGATGCACCTCAGTTAGAACCTTTCTACATCATTTAGTACACATCATGAAACATTAGCAAGAGTTTCTTGTCTTTTATGATTTGCTTCAGTGTGATTTTAAGAAAGAAAACTTATCTCATGACAGGGTTTTCAGTCATCTACCTGAAAACTGACCATTTGTAATAAGCTTTTATCTTTTCTTTCTTTTTTAAATTTTCACTACACCTTGCTGAGGACATTTACTTTATTTTTTAAACCAATTTGTGGCAACTCTTTCTAAGATGTTCGGTGGAAAACAAGACAAACTCGCTTGATTTTGGGGAAAATTTTATGCTTGAAAGCATTGACAGCATTTTCTAAAGCAGCAAAGGAGGCAGTCTGTTAAAAGGTAGGTCTTCAGTTTTTTACACTACAGTCTCATTCACCTGTAAATTGATGAATAAAATTTATTTTAACGATCACATAAGATTTAACCTCAAATGTGCTGAGATGACCAGATCACTTGCTCTTGGAGACATAGTTTGAATATGCAAAACTTCAATAAATACCATGTGATGCATTTTTCACACAGTGTAAGCCCACTGAATCATCCTTAATTTTTTTGTTCAGAAGAAAATTTAAGAAAATGAAACAAACAAAACGTCTTCTAACATGAACTAATTTGGAAAAGGTCAGGTTCATAAAAAATATTTGATTATTATTGTTTTCTATTTTCAATCTCTGTTGCTTTTGACTGTAATCTACATAAGAGAATATTTTGAGCTGTGTTTTAGGAATGTACTTTTTTAAATATTTGTGGACAAAACTAAACATGTTTCCTTTAAATGAGAAAATGAAATTGCTGCCATTATTGAAATCTTGCTCATTTTGTCAGAGGAGTCCTACAAGGTTTCATCCTCAGTCTCCTGTTGTTGTTTTTGGGTTACATCCAAACTGTGATATTTTGTGCAAGCTTGGTGGGAGCCATGAAAACATAGAATCCACCAATCTACTCCCCAAAACAAAACAAACAAACTAACAAAAAACTTTTTGTGTAACATTAAGTTTGATTGACTTTTTGATCATACTTGTCAAGCTGAGATTTAAAAGGTTTTTCATATTGAACATACCTAATTTAGACTCCTTGTTGCACATTTATTTCCACCAATCCATTTCCTCCTGTCTGAAAAATGGCTAAGCTTGTATAATATAACATAACGTTTCATACCACATCCTTGTCAAATGATATAGTTGTCAAGATAGTCCTTTTGAGACATGATTATCCTGATTTTTTAAAGGCCTGAGTTTTTTAAAGTTCTGGAGAGGAGGGTCCGTCGGATAGTCCAACCTCAGATTCAGGAGGAGCAGTGCAGTTTTCGTCCTGGCCGTGGAACACTGGACCAGCTCTACACTCTCAGCAAGGTCCTGGAGGGTGCGTGGGAGTTTGCCCAACCTATCTACATGTGCTTTGTGGACTTGGAGAAGGCGTTCGACCGTGTCCCTATGGGAACCCTGTGGGGGATACTCTGGGAGTATGGGGTACCGGGCCCTTTGATACGGGCTGTTAGGTCCCTGTATGACCGGTGTCAGAGCTTGGTCCGCATCGCCGGCAGTAAGTCGGGCTTGTTCCCTGTGAGAGTTGGACTCTGCCAAGGTTGCCCTTTGTCACGATTCTGTTCATAACTTTTATGGACAGAATGTCTAGGTGCAGCCAAGGTGTTGAGGGGATCTGTTTTGGTGGCCTTAGGATTGCGTCTCTGTTTTTTGCAGATGACGTTGTCTTATTGGCTTCATCAGATCGTGATCTACAGCTTTCACTGGAGTGGTTCGCAGCCGAATGCGACGCGGCCGGGATCAGGATCAGTTCCTCCAAATCCGAGGCCATAGTCTTGAGCCGGAAAAGGGTAGAGTGCCCTCTCTGGGTCAGGGAGGAGGTCCTACCCTCATCTATGGTCACGAGCTTTGGGCTGTGACCGAAAGAATGAGATCTCGGATACAAGCGGCCAAAATGAGTTTTCTCCGCAGGGTGTCTGGGCTCTCCCTTAGAGATAGGGTGAGAAGCTCGATCATCCGGGAGGGACTCAGAGTAGAGCCGCTGCTTCTCCATGTCGAGAGGAGCCAGTTGAGGTGGCTTGGGCATCTGTTTAGGTTGCCTCCTGGACACCTCCCTGGTTCGGTGTTCCGGACACGTCCCACCGGAAGGAGGCCCAGAGAAAGACCCAGGACACGCAGGAGGGACTATGTTTCTCGGCTGGCCTGGGAACGCCTCGGAATTCCCCCGGAAGAGCTGGCCCAAGTGGCTGGGGAGAGGGAAGTCTGGGCCTCCCTACTTAGGCTGCTACCCCCGCGACCCAACCCCGGATAAGCGGAAGAAAATGGATGGATGGATGGATAAAGGCCTGAAGACTAAGACTGAAGAAGTCTTTTGGATGAAAGACAAAACGTTTCTACAATTTTTTAAACCCATCCAGAGGACCTGACTTAACTTATTTAGATTTTTCTACCTGAATTATTGAGCACGCATCAGGATATTTTTAAGGCCATTTTTAGTCAAGAGTTTTACAATGACTATCATGGACCTTGTCTTGTGTAAGACCCTAATTTGAAAATATTTTAACAAAAATCTAGCCAAGATTCTATGGTTGTTCTGTTTGGGACACTACAAAGAGCCTTTATCAGGATTTAAATACAATTCCGTTTGACTGAAAGCTGAACAATTTCTGAGTGTTCCATCCATCCATCCATCCATCCATCCATCCATCCATCCATCCATCC